AAGAAACCATTATCTTTTAGACTATTAAGTTTTCTTCTATTTAAATCTCCCTCCAGACACAGAAACAGCCCATAATTTCTACTACTAAGAACATCATTGTACTAGTTCAAGTGATGACTTGGGGTGATGGCCCAAATCCAGCAGACTTTAAAGCAAGCTTAGCTATGGAGAGAAGCAGGCTCAGATGCCCCACCACCACATGCTCCAGAGAAGGGAGAAACAGCCATTTGGAGAGAAAGGCCTTATATTGTAAGTTTGGATTAGTCCTTGGGCTTCTAATTTATTATGCCTTCAAAAAGAAAATCCTCTGAGCCAGTAGAAAAGAATATCAGAAGTTACTCTTGATTTCCAGACTGTACCTTAAACCTCTACTCTAGGAAAAGCCCATGATATACAACCTGGTTGGTTACATTCTGGAAAGGAAAAATGTTTCTGATTAATTCAGATGGTTTTTAATTAGTATATAGCCCAGAGGACATCTGATGGTTATTCCAACATAAATCTTACCAAATATTACTGCTTTAGGTTGGTAACAGGGGTAAGAGAGCATATTTCAAGCTCCTTGGGGATGAAAGGGCCATTTGTGCCCAATGTTGTACCTGATACTAGCCTACGATCTTCCCTTGTAGAGCTAATGAGCCAGCACTGAGCCAGCACTGAGCAACCATGCCCCATTCATTTCTTATTTTGTCTAAGAACTACTAATTGAGGACTTACTTTGTGGCAGACTCTGAGCAAGAAACTGGGACCAGATGCAGTGAGGACAGAGCATGGTGGTTCATGCCTGTAGTCCTAGCACTCTGGGAGATTGAGGCAGGAGAATTGCTTGAGGTCAGGAGCGCAAGCCCAGCCTCAGCAAGAGCGAGACCCTGTCTCTGCAAAAAATTAGCCTGGCATGGTGATGGGAGCCTGTAGTTCCAACTACTAGGGAGACCGAAGCAGGGGGATTGCTTGAGTCCAGGAGTTTGAGATTGTAGTGAGCTATGATACTATTGGACTTTACCCTGGGCAACAGAGTTAAATCCTGTCTCAATAAATAAATAAATAAATAAATAGATACAGTTGCTCCTCCCTTCAAAGGACTCCCAGTATTTTTTATTGTTTTTGAGATAGAGTCTCACTTTGCTGCTCTAGGTAAAGTGCCATGGCATCATAGTTCATAGCAACCTCAAACTCTTAGCCTCAAGCCATTCTCTTGCCTCAGACTACAGGGGCCCTCTGCAATACCCAGCTATTTTCAGAGACAGGGTCTCACTCTTGCTCAGGCTGCTCTCAAACTCCTGATCTCAGGCAATCCACCTGACTTGGCCTCCCAGAGTGCTAGGATTACAGGCATGAGCCACCACACACGGCCAGGACTCCCAGTCTTACTGCAGGAAAAAGAGACCCCAGTAACAGTTATAATATTCCTCATATCCAGCTTGAGGAAACCTGCAGCAGGTGCCACTGTTCAGATACTCAAACATCTACAAGATGGGTGAAAATAGCTATATTTTATCATCTACTATCATTTTAAGAAAACATAGTCATGGTGGGAAAAATGCAGACAGATCAGCTGAGGCTATTTCCTGCTTAATGAACAAAACATTTTACTCAGTTTGGAATAAGAACCCTTTGGTATAGTAGGTTAATATGATAGCATCATTCTATGAAAATAAAATCCAGCAGAGAATATCTTTATTCCTATACTTTTAAAAGATTCAAACAATCAGGCTGCTCCTCAGACTGAGGTGGTGTCAGGGACACACATGCCAGCAGCAGCTTGTTGGTGCGCATGGGTCACACCTGACCACAAGGTGCAGGGAACCCACTGAGACAGGAGTGGGGAGAGACTGCACAGAGAAGTCACGTGCTAACGGGGGTGGAAAGAAGAACCAGTTAGTTTGCCAGGTGAATGGGGCAGATGGGTGTGTGGGAAGCAGAGAATCAAGTCTAAGTGAAAAGCATTCTGGGCAGAGAAGGCACAAGAGCATCCCGTGACAAGGCCTCTTTAGGACAAAAAAGTAGTTGTGTATGGCCTGTCCAGAACCTAAGTAACTAAGAAACTAAGGCTGTGGCCCAGGCATCCCAGGCCTTGAATGCTATGTGATGTTTAGCCTTTATAAGACATGGGAAGACAGGGAGTGACAAAAATACACATATATCTTAGGCAGATTATCTTCTGCCTAAAGGTGAGGAGAGAACTACAAGGAGAAAGCTGGGCTGCATCGTGAAAGGTCCCAGAGTCATGTCTCTCAGAGTAATTGGCACAGGTGGCTATATGGCAGGAGATAAGGCTGTGTTTCACTGTCTAAATGGGAACAACTCTCACCAACTGATTGTAATTTGTATTTTAGTCAAAACCTCTTCTGAGAACCAGGAACTGAGGAGGTAGCAACAAAAGTCTCTTCCTTTCCTCAGGGTAACCAGGGGGCCTCAAGTGTCATAATGAAGGAGAAATTTGCTTCTGTCCCCTGGGGATTGTGAGGCCCAGAGAGACCCTCATGCCATCTGATGGTAAACCACACATCTCCAGAGTTTTGTTTTCTCCTCTTTGAAATGCTTGGGGCCAGCGGGTCACAATGCACCTCAGACTGTCAATTCACACTCCGCCCTTCCGTGCTGTCTCTTTAACCCACCTGCTCAGATATTTCCAACAGCTGACACCAATCCCACTGCTGGGGAAACCTGCTCCAATTACCCTGAGGTTCAAATCTTAGACCAGCGGGGATGTTGGACAGTTAAGCCAAATTACTGAGTCCCAAATTCCTTATTTGTACAATGGGATACTAATATTTATTACAATAAGGTGGCTTTGAGGATTAAATGAAATAAATTAATATATTGCCTAGCATAGGGTAAGTGCTTACTGGTAGATAATAGCACAGGTTATCATTTATTAACTCATTATAAGTGTTTTACTTATAGTTGACTCATTTTGTTCTTACAACAACCCTATAAGGTCACTAAATTTTCCAAAATTTTATAGGCGAAGAAAGTAAGGCATAGAAAAGCAATGTTCAAAGTCACATAGTTTGGCTCAGCACCTGTAGCTTAGCGGTTGGGGTGCCAGCCACATACACTGGAGCTGGTGGGTTTGAACCCAGCCCGGGCCTGTCAAACAACAATGACAGCTACAACCAAAAAATAGCCAGGTGTTGTGGCAGGAGCCTGTAGTCCCAGCTACTTGGGAGGCTGAGGCAAGAGAATTACTTAAGCTCCAGAGTTTGAGGCTGCTGTGAGCTGTGACACCACGGCACTCCAGTGAGGGTGACAAAGTGAGACTGTCTCAAAAAAAAAAAAAAAAAGACAAAGTCACACAGCTTGTACACAGCAAAGCCAGGACTTGTGATCAGACTGCCTGGCTGAGGTATCTGAGCTCTCAACACTGTGCCAACTGACTGTACCATTTCCCTGCTACAGAGTCACTCATTTCAACATATCCTGTTTAATTTGGCTAATTTTTCATGTTTAGTAGCAACACAGCCTGCCTCAAAGCTCCCTGAGAAAGAGTCTTTATCAATGGCCTCTCTCAAACTTACCCCTCAGTGCACTAAATAATAAATAGTGACTATCAATATTTGCTGATGGATCACTCGACTGATCTATTTTCATCTTCCAGGAATGCTTCTACTTGTTGGCATTTGTGATTTCAAATCTGTTTCACAAGTGTGTGGGGAAGACTTTACATGGCAAACCTGAGAATGTTGACTGTGGAAAGGCTTACTTGCAAGACTGACCCTTGCCTAGTGTCTGAGAACTTGAACTTTGGGAGAGTTCACATCATCCTAACTGATAGGAACCGCTCAAAGTGTTGCCCAAGGCGGAAGACTTGCTTTCCTTCTGGAGTTTGGTGGGTGCCAGGTCGATGGTGCCTTTATGACCAGCCCTCGATACATCCTTGGGCAGTGAGTTGCTAATGAGGGAACAATACTGCATATGTTGTCCCTGTCACATGCTATGCAGCCCCACTGGGAGAGGACCCACAATAGCCCCTGCCTGATTCCCTCTCGATGCTGCCCAGCATGCCTTTTCCCTGTGTACCCTTTCAGTGCATGACAAGCCGCAGCCAGGAGGACTGTGTGCTGAATGCTGTGAGGCCTCCTGATTCACCAGTACTGTAAGAATCAAGAAAATGTGTCCTGAACCAGTCATCTGGTGCTATTTTCTGAAAGAACCTATTAGGATTTGAGCCTGGACACAGCTTTCTCTTGTTCACTGATGATTGAATCTCCAAGCTGGCTGAGTAGCTGCAGGGGAGGTGACCACAAGGACACAGCTCCTGTGCTCTAGGAGCTCGCATCCAGCCCAGGAGGGGAGACAGGCCGGTGAGGACACAGGCTGGCCCTGTTGCTTCCTGCCTGTGTGGTCTTAGACAAGTCATTTAAGCTGCTGGAGAGCTAGCGTCCTCAGGTGCCTGCTCCAAGTGGGTGGCAGGGCTGGAGTGCAGCACACACCCAGAGCACATGGCATCTAGCAGGTCTCTGTCATGGGGGAGGGGGAAACACTGCTGAAGAAATGAGCAGAGCCTCACAAGGACATGGTGGCTGTGCCCTAGTTCTCTCCTGAGGAGCACACTTTCACAGGTAACAAGGGGGCTGGGAGATAAAGAGATGGAGGTTAAAGTGGCTCAGAGTGTAGCAGCCTCACAGGGCTACCAGGAGACCAAATGGGCAAGAGCACAGATGTGCTTTTGTTCTGGACCAGCAGCCAGGGCTCAAACCCTGGCGCTGGCACCTTCAGACTGTGAGGCCCTGTGTGAGTTACCAAACTTCCTAGGCCTCAGTTTCCCTGTTGGTAAAATGAGGTGGTAACAGCATCTGCCTCATGGGGGCGGCTATGGGCTGAGAAAGTGGCTGGCACAATGCCTGGCACACAGTAAGTGTTCCATACACACCAGCCATGGCATTTGTGAAGAAAGTCAAGCATGGCATAACCACTACATACAATAGGTGCACTGTGAACTTTAGCTGCTATGGTTATTACTGTTATTAAGAAAAACCAATGGAGGCAATACTTACAATCTTTTCTTATCCACCACTCTTTTAACTCGGATGGCTCTTTGTTCTGAGTAAAGTTTACACACTCCTGTTATAGGGGAAAATACCAGAAAAGATACCATTTAAATTGGCTTCACAGGCAAAGGTATCATTTAATATAATGAGGCACTATAGTCTTTAGCTAGCAAAGGTAACTTCTGTACCACATCTACTGTGAAATGCCACATTTGGCCTTTAAGAGAAAATGAAATACTTTTTAAGTAATCTTCAATGAAATCCAAAACAGCTGTCCTGTGCTCCTTCACTTGCTGGGAGTGTATCTCCTTGTGGGCTGTAACAGAAAAGGAAAACATTCAGGTCTTTGTACGCAATTATTCCATAGCTAACAGTTATTAGCTTCCTTAGAACAGCTTCTTTGTTGAAAATACGCTTAAAAACATAGCTATAAAATGTGTCAGGGTCAAGTGAGATTTAAAGAATTGAAAATTCTTGTAAGAGTAAAAGATTAAAAACTTGTAGAAAACTGCAGTCACAAAAATGTATGGTTCATTACCATACTTGGAGACAACACCTGATGAAATGGGACCAATCTACAGCAACAACATCCAAGGCTCAAGCTGACCTTCAAAGAGCATGTTTAAATCACAATTCAATCACATACTCCTCCCTGCTTGAGCTGCAAGTTTTCCAGTTTGGAGCACATTATCCTCCCCCCCGGACACCAAGCCAAACTCTCCTCCTCCAGAAAACCTTCCATGACTCCTAGCCGCAAGGATGCTTCCCTTCTGGGAACTACCTCACAAAAGTCTGGTAAAAAACACCTAACAGACCTAAAGTTGATGCCACTTGCTTTGTTAAGAGGGCTCCATGAGAGACTGCCTGCCTGCTAGTACTTCACATGAAGTACTCAACCACAGCCCTGATAGTGCCTATTACACATGAAGAAACTGAGGCTGGGAGACAGCAAGCAGCCCAAGGTCACCTGGTTTCATACTGAATTGCTGGTTTTATTAATGTTCTCGGTATCTCAACAAACATTATGCACTTCAGGATAGTGGGCATGATTTATGTCTTTACCATAGGGTTGCTTAACCCGAGATTCACCGGGGGTGGCAGGGCCTCCTTGAAATCACACACAACAATTATGTGTGTGTGTGTGTGTATATATATTTTTGTAGCAAGAATGTCTATACCTTTCCAAACAAAAGTCAGTGTCACGAGCACAATAGGAACTGACAACTTTGAGTTCTATATTCTATTTAATGTACTCTACATCTGCCTAAGCAAACTTAAAAAGAATCAACAGAGAGACATAACTTGGGAAGCCATTTCAGTGTCTCGGTGAGAAGTGAACATCAATGGCAGAGAGGTGGTAACAACCCCCTCCTGCCACACACATGGTTCTAAGTGTGCTGTAGGAGCTTCCCCTTATCCTCCTAAAAACTCTCAGACACGCATCCCATAATCGTCTGAATTTCACAGATGAAGAAACTGAGGTCCAGGGAGTTTAGGTACTTTGCCCAGGGCCACATGGCTAGAATGTGCAGAGCTGGGGTGCACACCTAAGCAGCCCTGACTCCAGAGCCTTCCTCCTAGCCTCAGAGGTAGGATAAAGTCTACTTCAACACTAAGTAGAAAGCTCAGGATCCTTCTCCATTCTTCTCCAGGAGCCATCAGCCCCACCCCACCAAACGCCACACAGAATACAGGCACACACACATTCGATTTGTTTTCTCCGTCCCTGGCTCCTTGGTAAATATTTTGTTGTTTGGAAAGGCCATTTCCATCTCCCTCGTCTGAACCTCCCAATTGTTTAACTGGACTAATGGCCTTTCATTACTTTTAATAGACTAGATTAAAACTGTGATCAGTGAAGGAACGGTTTTAACGTTGTAAGACCTAACTCTTAACAACATAGGAAGGAACTATAACTGGTTGTGCCGCCTGACTCTGCTGACTACTTGATATAGTCGTGGTTGTCAGTGTGTGTCTTTCAGAGCACTTTACCTTCTGCTCTCAGTTGCTGAATTGCTTCAGAACAGGTCCTCATGAATATCTGAGCATCCTGGTCTATCTGGTCTCGTTCTGTGTCTGTCATCCTCCCATATTCAGATACGATATGGCTAACGAGAGAGAAAAAGAAGAGACATCAACAAATGACATCAGAACCTAGTCTGGGTGGGTGGGGAGGGAAGAAAAGGCTCCTTGATATAGTGACATTTAAGCTGAGGCTTGAAGGATGAGGAAGAACTGGCCCAGCTAAGAAGGAAATGATCTAGATAGCAGAACCAACACACACACATACGAAGGCTGTGAGGTAGAAAAGTCTTCTTGAATAGATGTAACTGAAACAGGTGAAAAGAGGAGAGGGAGAGTGGGAGGGAGAGGGAGAGGAAGGACAGGAGGGGAGAGGGGGAAGGGGGAGGAGCAGTGGGGAAGGGAGGGGGCGAGAAGGGCAAGGAAGAGGAGAGCAGGGGAGGGGAAGGGAAGGGGAAGGGAATGGGAAGGGAAAGGGGAGAGGAGGAGAGAGGACGGGAAGAGAGGAGACAGGGAGGGAGAGGAAGGGAAGGGAGGAGATAAGGAGAGAGAGGAAGGAGGGAGCTGGAGCGCACGGACTCATCACAAATGAGAGCAGTGGCTCGGCACCCATAGCTCAGTGAGTAGAGCACTAGCCACATACATAAAGGATGGTGAGTTCAAGGCCGGCCCTGGCCTGCTAAACAGCAATGACAACTGCATCAAAAAACAGCTGGGCATTGTGGCAGGTGCCTATAGTCCTAGTTACTTGGGAGGCTGAGGCAAGAGAATGGCTTAAGCTCAAGAGTTTGAGATTGCTGTGAGCTGTAATGCCACAGCATTCTACCAAGGGTGACATAGTGAGACTCTGTCTCAAAAAAAAAAAGAAAGAGCAGGTGCCCTCACCCAGTCACCTTAGAAGCTCAACCCCCATGGGCTGTCAATGGAGAATAACACAGGGACACAATCTGCATGCTCTTGAGATGTATGTAAAAAGCCATTTTAGGCTGCTATTTTTCAATATTCACAAATAGTCTTCAAAACTATCAATAAAAGAGCTTTGAGAAACAAATATCATTTTCTCTAATACTGAATTAAACAATCCTACAGTTCCTGAGCTACTAAGGGGACTCACTCTGTGACCTTGCTCAACTTGATTTGAGCATCACCCGCCCGAGGTAGAAGGTACTTGACAGAATACCCAGACTCAAACTCACCATTTTCCCCTCCCCCCAGCCAGGCTGGCCACCCACCCTCACCGAGAATAAAAAGCAAAGTCCCACTGGCCTCCAAGCACCGCTGTCCCCTCATTTCGTGCATATCCTCACTCCCACGATGGTGGCCTCTTTTCTGTCCCCCTAACCAGCCAAGCAAACTCCTACCTCAGCCGAACTGTTTCCCGGGCTGGTGTCCATTCCTTCTCTTCATTCCACCTGTGCTCAGAGGCTGGCTCAGGGTGGACAGCTTCCTCTCACTGCCCTGTAGCGCTCGCCCAGCACTGGTCCTCAGCACCCCTGCTGGTTAGCAGGTGACCATCTCCCTGCTCCAAGGCTGCCCTTCTGCCTTCCTTGTTCTGTGATATGGGAGCTGGCCTCTCCAATCCTCCTGCCACTCTGCTACTATCTATCCCTTAACCTGCTTTTTTCCCTTTATCCCACTTACTATTCCCCGACAGAGTAAACATCTATCTCTTCCAATGCAAGCTTAAGGAAAGTAGGGACTTTCTCTTGCTCATTTTTGCTTCCCAATACCTAAAATGGTGTCTGGCACATAGTAGGTGTACTAACGTTAGCTGAGCACTTAGCAGATGTCAGATACTACCAGATTTTCAGAGTATTTTACATATATTCACTCACTTACATCCTGGACTACTGTATATCAGGCACTGGGCCAGGGGCTGTGGGTTCAAAGTTGAATAAAGTTCATTCCTGATCCCCGCAGAAGGAACCAAACTACAAGGGAAGCTGCACAGAAACAGGAGTGCAGGGACATGGGGGAATGCTACTGGTCGGGAAGCTGATGGTGGGACCCCATGTGGGGAGTGGTCAGTTTGTGCAGAAAGGTGCTAGGCAGGCAGAGAGGAAGGCACTCCACATAGAGGACAGTGGCAGAAGAACAGGAACAGATTCCCGACTTGTATGGTTAGAATGGTTAGAATGACCACATGTTGTTCGGTCCACTCCAGGGCACCTCTAGGAGTGGGATGGCGGCGGGGGACAGGGGGATGTCACAGGCTGGTCCCATGAGCACCACAGCAGCTGGCCGTGGCCCTTGAGGCTCCCTGGGGTCCTTCAAGAGGACAGCACATCCTGGGCTCATGGTTAGGGTGTGCACTGTTTGTCAAATGAATGTGGAGGTCTGAGTAGGACAACTACTTTCCCCTACTCCCACCTTTCAAGGATGAACACAAGAGCCTTCTGCCTCCCACATGCCAAGCAGCAGTTAGCTCTGCAGCTGACAGCAACTGGGTGTCCTCCGATTCAATTCAATTCCTACACCACTTACCTAGAGATAGCATGGGGTCCCCTACAGTGAGGACTCAGTCCCACACCTCTGTCTCCATAGGTGTTTTACTCAGCTTCTAACCAACTGGCTCAAAATTGGGGATCCCAGGACCTCCTCCTCAGGTTTGGTTAATTTGCTAAGACTGGCTCATAGAACTCAAGAAATGTAACTCACTTATATTTACCAATTTATTATAAAAGTTTTTACAAGGGAGAGGCAAGATGGCCTATAGGTACCAGCCTCTGACAGAAGCTCCTGTCCAGAGGGAAGGATACAGTCTAGAAAACATCCAACAGAGTCGAAGACTGGGAGCCCAGCCGAGAGAGAAGAGTGATACTGGGACGACACCTCTGCGGAGGCAAGCGGCGACTCCTAGAAAGCAATCTACAGGTACATAATATACCCCAAAGGAAAAGTGTCCGTCCTCTCCCCCAAGAAAGTTGTGCTTTTCCTTTGTTTTATCTTCAACCGCTCCTCTGAGTCTCCTACAGGCGATGGATAAACTGAGGACCTATTATCTCATGCCACAAGTGAGAGCTACTGACAGTGGGGTCTATTCCCCTGGAGGGACCCCAGTGAGACCCCAAACACCCTCTCCCAGGCAGAAAAGTGAAACTGGCATTCGCACTGCCATTTCGAATTTCCAGTCCACCCTTTCCTCCTTGCCTGGAGAAACAGTAAGAGGAGACCCAGGAGCAACGTCCCCCCACCCCTGCGGGACCAAGCCCTGGCCCCAGTCCTGCACTGGGAGAAGTGCTTGAGCCACGCATGCTCTGCGTGGACTGATCCCACCAGCCAGGGCATCCTGCACCAGGCCGCCTTTCTAGCTGCTGTGCCCGCTTTCCAGGGGCTCACCACCAGCGCATGCCCAGGACTGAGTCCCACCAGCCAGTGTGTCCTGCAACTGGCCGCCTGCCCAGCTGCTGTCCCCGCTCCCCAGGGGCTCCCTGGTGGCATGCACCAAGGACTGATCCACCCAGCCAGCGCATCCCCCACGGTTGCTAGCCCTGCTCCTGATCTATCCAGCTAGCACACCCCCTGTGCAGCTGCTTGCCTGTTACTGTCCCCACTCCTTGGGGGCTCCCCAGTGGCTCTCAACAAGGATTGATCCATCCAACTAGCACATCCCCTGCGGCTGCCTGCAGGTTGCTCCCCCGCCCCCCTGGGGCTCTGGCATTCTAGGCCCAGTCAGAGAACTGTAAAAGGACGGCCAGTTGAGAGGGAACCACACTGGAGCGGTGATATCCTAAGGCGAAGAGCAACAGCCGCAGCAGAAGGAACAATAAGCCTTACACTCCTGAGGCTTTTCTGGGTAGACACACCCTGTCTCTCTAGACAACCAGAAGAAGCCACCGGCAGAACGGTTTTAGGGACTGTCTTTGAAAGGTGCAAATTCAGCATGGGGTGGAATCAGCGGAAAAACTCTGGTAACCAGAACAACCAGAGTAGATCAACCCCCCTCCCCCCGTAAGGAAGGATGGGGCAGATGCAATTGAAGATCCCTTCCATAAACAGATGGCTGAGATGTCAGAAATTGAGTTCAGAATCTGGATAGTGAATAAGATCAACAGAATGGAGGAAAGGAAGGAACTAGAATTTCAAATTATTCAAAAGCTGTCTCAAGAATTCAATGATTTCAAAGATAAAATGACCAAAGACTACAACACCCTGAAGCAAGAGGTTGCAGCCCTCAAAGATCTGAAAAGTAAGGTTGAATGCCTCAGTCAGAGAATGGAGCAAGCAGAAGAAAGGATCTCTGAAACTGAAGACAAAGATTTTGAATGTGCCCAAGCATGCAAAAATGAAGACAAATGGAGAGCAAAAATGGATCACTTGCTCAGAGAGCTCTGGGATAATTCAAAGAAAACTAATATTTGCCTTATAGGAATCCCTGAAGGTGACAAAGTTGCTTCACAAAACACAGAGGCTCTTCTTCATGAAATTATGAAAGAGAACTTTCCAGACATGCCAAGAGATTCTGAAATTCAGATAG